AAAAAAAGGATTTGTCAGTGTTAATAGGATTAATTTAAATAATAATAATACTTTGTATGTATTTTTTTAATTAAATAAAATTTTATTTACAACAAAATTTTAAATTTTAACAATATATACACTCATATTATCTGTACTTCGTCGACGAATACATTCATCTAATAATTGTGATACAATTTCTTCTAATTTATTTGTTGATGCACGATGTATAACAAACGTTGCAACCTCTTCATTTGTCATCACATCCCATATACCATCACATGCAAGAATAATAAATGATGCTAATAAATTTCTTGGATATTCAACAATATCTGCCATTGGTGGAACAATATGTTTATCCATAGCAAAATCTCCTAATACACGAGTCATTGCTAATTGATTTTCGACACGTAAAACATCACCCGTAGATGATTTCGATATTTTACCACCGGCTTCATGAATACGTTCTTGTTCAGCTGGATCGTCCGGTTTATGATCTAATTATTTGATGATAATAATAAATAACAAGAGAAATAAATAAAACTACCTTCTGTATGTGCTAAAACCTGACCATTATTAGATATAATAATTGCACGAGAATCACCAATATTAATTAAATAAATCTTCTCAGGCCCGATAAGACATGTTATCTAAATATTTTGTATTTATTTTTGTAAAAAAATAGAACGTAATAGCTATTAATACCTACACAAACACAACCGCTATCATCTTTAACTACACTTCTTAGATCCTTATCTAATTCAAAATATGTTTGTTTAATCGCAGCATTTAAAAGATTAAAATCAAGATGTGACGAATGAATAGGTGTATCGGATGTAATTTTACCATTATATTGTTTTTCAAGCATATGATTGAATGCATTTAATAAATGAGCATCGAGTTGATCTGATGCATTTTTTGCTGTATCAATACCTGTATAAGATAATATGTTTTCTCTAATAGATAAATGTTTATCTTTTTTTTATTTTACCATTATGACCATCAAAAATGGCAAAATATGACCATAATTTCCATGAATAATTATCCAATGATACTAAATGTTTATGTACATCTTCCATAGATGAACGCCATCCTTGCATTGCAGCAAAACCATATGTTGAACTACGTTCTAATATTTTTTCTAATTTTGGTTTATCTAAAAAGAATTTTGCTATGTGATCATGTTCATCTTTCTGATGCTGTTGTTGATGTTGCTGATGATGATGATGATGACGACGAAGATGAAATATATGTCTTGTTCGATGACCATCTCGATTACGTCCAAAAAGAGCTTCGATGCCTGCATGTAACATTTTCTTTTTTTTTTATAAATGAAAGCTTTTCTTTTTGCCCTCAAATATTTTCTCTTCTTCTATTATTTACTAACGTTGTTTTGTGTAAGAACTCTTCTTCTTCTTCGTAATATTTACTTGGATATTCAGTAGGCTTGCCTATGCCACGTTTTTCTCCTTCTTATTCTCCTCTTCTTTTATGTAAGATGTAACAGTAGAAAAAGCAAAAGCAACTTGTGCTGACAAGCGCATCATAAATAGAGAAGAAAAAAGTCACTTCTTTTTATCATTTTCTACGGTTAAATTCATCCTATTTGTTCTTTCTTCTTCTTCTTCTTCTTTTATAATTTCAAAGAATCTAGACGACCTGTTATTATAATCATGCATTCAATAGATAGTTTCCTTTTGTTTGATAAATATAGATAATAAAAGGAAGCACGCCATTTCTGCTTATTTAATATCTTACAAAACATTTTTCTAGAGACTAACTCAAAATAATGGATATAATAAAATCTATTTATAAATGTTCTACATTTTAATTTGATATAAAAATTCAATCATACTTTTCTAGAATTAATATAGAACGATAAGAGTTAGTCTAGGAGTTATTTTCTTCAAAAATTTTTATTCTTTTTTTTAATATTAAAAATCTTTTATGGTACTTATCATACTAAGTGGTAGGAAATAATAAGAAAATAATTCAACTTAGGCGAATAAATTATGAAAGGTACGGAAGAAAAAAAAATTACCCTAGACTTTACAATTTCAGTATTCAATAAAGAAAAAGTATCTGTAAATATTGAGTTTATAATATGACTTTTACTTCAATCAATAAAATCTTTAAAAGTTTCAAATATTTTTACAGCACTTTGTTCTAAATAAATCTCAAACAGAGACATACTATATTGAAGTGGATAAACATAGTAATTGTCAATAATTTTATTCACTTATATATGATGATCTTTACAATCTTTATTTGTCTAGTCAATAATTGGATTTCTTCTTATCTTTATTAAAATTGACTTAAATATCATTGAACTACAAATACTATACAGTAAACGTGAAATAAAATGTTCTATAGGACTCTACCGACCTCTCATTTAGTAACAAGGTCGTGATAATATAATGAATCTAATTAATGAAATATAAGCTTTTCTTGTTTCATGTCATTCGTTTATCTTAAAAGTACGTTTAGATCCAATTATACATTACTGATGCATTCATTATTTAAAATACCAAAGGATATTCAAACAAAAAGTAATAAGAATTTCATCCTTTAAGCAATTGAGTGTTAAAACACATTCAATTCATATAAAACTTTAGAAGAAAACGTTTTCATCTCACTAATCTTATTTTATTAGTCCTCTAGGAATTATAATATCAAAAAGATAATACTGTATAAAAGCTATGACATTTCAAATTTTATTGTACGATTAGATAGTAAAATACCTCTCCAGTCAGAATGTATATGTCGGGATTGACTTTAAAATCCGGTTGTCTTTAAAAGGCAACTAGTTGACATAAGGCAACTAGTTGACATAAGGCAACTAGTTGACATAAGGCAACTAGTTGACATCAGTCAACTCCGACATATATAATATTTAGGACGAAGCAAATGTTCAAAATAATCATTTTTTATCAATGTTTTGCTTAGAAAAAAATTCATTTTATTTTTAAATGTTTGCTATATACATGTCGTGCCTTACAAGGCGAAAAATATATCTGAACGAAATCATTGATCTTCGATGTTCGTAATCTTATCCTAGAAATTATTTTACACATTAACTAAGATAACGTTTGATTTCATCAGATACATTAATAATGTCAATAATATTCAGTGCATGAAACTTGTCAACGATTGACAGGTTATAATATTCGTACAGTGCAACTTGACTTACCTTGACTTGCCCTGTTCTGCTTGAGTAGAACCAGACTCTAATTATCAATACATATATGAAACATCTTTATGTCAGATTAAAACGAAGAATATTCTTTTTTTTTCAACGGACATCAAAGAAAAGAAAGTACATTGATCAACTATCAGTCATCATATCTGTAGGTCATTGTAAAGATATAAAATACATGCGTTTATTGATATTCCTATGACATCTATCTGATAAAAGAACAGAATAAATCCAATTTATAAGTATTTATTTTAATGATAAATATCTATTGTTATATATGTACGTGATATGTATATAAAACATGTATTTTATCAGTCTAGACCATTCGTAAATGTAAAAATGTCTTTTTTTTACAAATTCAGATTAACTATCTACTACAAATATACGACACAAGATATTTATCTAACGAAGAGATTATTACTTCTAATCAATCAAATAAAAGATGGTTTTCAATTTGTATAAATAATAGTAACAAAAAATAATTTATTTTCATAAAAAAAAATTACATATATAAAAAAATCAGACAAGAATCACAATTATTGCACTATTTAATATAAAATAGAATATAAAATTTAAATTCAAAAAGAAAAATTTATCATACGAAATCTAATTTCTTACATGTCGTCTTTGTGTGCAATATAAAACAGCACTTGTAACAATTGTTACACCTATTGATAAACCATAAAATAGACCTGATGGAAATTTTCCTTTACGTAAACATTTATAACCATCATAACCTGTTTTACATAAACATAAAAAATGAGTTGGTCCATTTGTATCACAATAAGAATTTGGTTCAGTACATATATCTGTTGAATTTGAACAAAAATCTTTTTGATGTCCACAAAGATTTCCTATAGGATCATCTGTTTTATTAATCCATTTCCATACATGTTGTCCTCCAGGACAATCAAAATGGTCGGGTAAAACAAGAACATCAAGATCTTTTGATGCAAGAAAATCATGATCATAAGAAGGTTCAAGTTCAGGATTTGAACGAAGATCAATTACGACTAAATCAAAATTTTGATGTTCAGTAAAATCTGGAATCTTAGTTAAATTAGAGTCCATTAAATCAACAGCAATAAATGTCTCATTATCAGGTCCACGACAACATCGAAATATAAGATAACCATCCTGTTGATTACAATAATCAATAACATATCTACTAGTTGCATTCATACCAGCACATAAGGTGTGTTGTGCATCTATTTGTAAATTACTAATAAAAATAATTAATATACTATACACAATAGAAATCATTATCTAAAAAAAAGATTTTCATATATTTCTTTTTTTTATAAACCAATAGATCATCAATAATTTATTTGTAATATACATTATGAATAAATACGTTAAATAAAACTGTTGTTAATTAAATATCATAAATGCGCATGAGCGATGTGCGTTTGCTTTGGATATAATTTGTTTTTACATCTGCACACAACAATGAAATAGAAAGAAAAGAAAAGAAAAGAAAAGAAAAGTTGAGTTACAACAAATGAACAAAATTTTTTTAATGATTATCATTGACAAAGTTGAGGTCAGATAGAAAATAGAAAAATCTGCATTTTCTTTTTTTTTTGATTTGCGTACATTTTTGGTTTAATAAACAATATTTAGGAACAAGAAAAAAAACGAAAACAAGGAAAATCATCAATAGCGATGACTAGAATTTCTACGAGAGCAAAAAATAATAAATAGAGTTAGATATCGTCATTAATTAATAACATATCTTTTTCTGCATCTTTTTTTGTCAATGATTTGGGTAATAATTTATTTGGTAAATTCTGAAGAATATTATTTTGACTATGCATTGGAATTTCAATTGGTAATGTTGCAGGTTCATTATTTTGTGTTGTATATTGATTGACATTAGACGGTGAAGTCACGGATGGGCGGTCATCAGTTGTCTAAAGAAAACAAAAATAATAATTGCGAGAAGAACGAAAAAACAACGTGAAAATAAAAAGCATTAGTTTAAGAAAAAGTAGTTGCCAACACCAAAAAAAAAGAGACTAAATATACCCGAGGAAGCTGAAAAATTACAGAAGGTAATTCCGTGTCCAGATGAGTAGCCTGAGAGATAGATTTATATGTTTATACATTTGGTATGTATTTATACAAAAACAAACAAGTCTTACATGTGCATTGTATTGTGTATAATCTCTATATTGTGGATGAAAATTATGAATTGCATCTAGAATTGAATAAAATTATTTTTCTTAAAAATAAAAATATTTCGAATTTATTTACCATGCATAATATCTTTTGGATTCATTGTTTCTTTTAGATTATTTGAAATACTTTGCATTGTTACTATTCGTCCACCTTGACCTCCTTGACCAACATGTATGGTTGTTGATGGAAGATAATTTTCACGTAAAATATAAGGCTCATGTGGAAAAGCAAAACGTAAAGCAATAGAAGCTAAACACATTTCAATACAAATAAAAAAACTTTGCCATCCTTAAATAAATAAACAAACAAATATTTTAATCAGCAAAATAATCTTTTTTTCTATTAATTACCAGCAGCAACTGTACCAACACTTAAATTTGTTTTGCCTTGAAATGCTTGAATAATTCCTAATTGTTCAAAAATAGCCAAAAGAACACCTACAAATAAAGAAACTTTTATTTGTAAATCTATACAAATTTTTATTTACCTTGCCAAAATGTTAGAAAAATAACTGATTTAACTGTTAAAAATTTCAAAACTGGGTCATATTTAGCTAAAATATCTTTAGTTGCTGCATAAAATAAAAATAAACCATATAATGCGACTGATACAGATATATTATAGATGATTGTTAAATATAAATAACCACCAGTAACAGAAAAATCTCCATCTTTATATTTATCAAATGATTGTAATACAAGTGTAACTAAAGACATTAATGGTTTCACTAAACAGAATTGTAATGTTGCCTAAAAATAACATAAATTTTTAAATCGAATTTGTGTTTTTGTTTTGTTTTCTTTACTTGTTTACAAAATCTTAAAAAACTTATTGTATATTCTTGATTTGATAAACAACATGTACAAGTCCACCAACTTCGACTAATTAAAGAAAAATAAATTCTTATTCTTTCAATATTTGATATTTTTGTAAAACTTACTGGATATATTTTCCACGAATTTCTGCCATGATAGCTCCTTCACCACCCAAATATTCATAACAAAGTGATAAGAAACTATAGATGACAAAAGCTAAAAAGAGAGAGAGAGAAAATTTAAAAACATTTTTCATATAGATCCAACCTTCATAGCAGTCTCGAACAGCATGAAAATAGACGTAATATGAATCTTTAGTAAAGAGGATCAAACTAAGCCATGAAACAAAAGAATAGATAGGTACATAAAATAGTAGTCGAACAATCCATTTTTGTTCGGATGGTACATTATAATGACGTAAATGAAGATAAATCTAAACGATAAAAATTTAGAAAAAAATATTATTTCCCATTGTATATTACATGATAACTTGTAATAAAAATTGCTGCCCAAGTAAAAGCTCCAGCAATTGCTTGACAAGCAACTGTATGTAAAAATAATTGATCACCATAAACAATTGCTGCTGTTGTTGTTGTAGTTGCTGCAGAATTTGTATTTAATTCAGTAGTTAAAAAAATAGAAGAATTAGACGACATTGTTGTTAAATTAAGCTCCATAGTTTTTTTTTATGTTACTCTTTTATCTAAAAGATTATAAAACTCGTATCATATCATGTGATGAATCATTGATCAAACAACTATTTGCATAGAATATTTTATTAATGGGTGATGTTTTTCTTTCTACGTGTGCTTTGTAATATAATAGATGACAAACTGATGCAATCATTAAAAAGTCAATAAACTAGCATACCGCACTGCTCCATTCTCTCTTTCGTGACTAGCAAAAAAAACAATTTTTTTTTCTTTTTCTTTCCTTCTTCATCAATGGTCATGCCATTAATATTATTGGCTCTACCATATTGTTTCTCGTGCCTCTATGTCATGTATATAAAATAATAAAAAAATTTTTTTAGCTTAAAAAATAAAATAGAAACTATCTATTATTTCCGCTAAAATTTATTCTTTGAAAATTTTTTTATATTTTGTCAAATCATGATTACCATAGTAACAAAATCCATACGTCGATTGATACAGTTACTATCAGAAATATTAAAACATAAAAAAAAGTCATGCCCGGTCAAAGACAAGTGTGTAATTATCATTTAAATTTGAATTATGATTATTATTTTCTTATCTTAGAATATTGATGATCAACCACCATCAAATAGTTTTCTTCAACAAATATTTGAAAGTCGTATGAAAGTAAATTATATCAATAAAAAAATAAAAAAATAAATAAATTTTAAATGTAAATAGAATGAAATTGACGAAAATGATTTACTTATCCTACTAAATCAAACAGATTTATCACATACATTTGATCGACATTCGAAATTTAATATTGATCATTCAAAATTATTAATTGCAGCTGTAGCTCATGTAAATATTTAGTTATTTCTTTTTTCTTGACAATTAAAATTTTCTATGTTTTATTTTAGTCTAAAAGTACTTTGACATTAGCAGAATTTATTTCTGTAGTAGAATTACTTCATACATGGAGAAATCTTTTTCGTCGTCATGATCTTGATAGAAATGGAATTATTGAACCATATGCTCTTGTTAATATTCTTAATTCTTTAAGTAAATGTGATAATATTTACTTATTTATTAATATTTTATTTTGAAAAATATTCTAGGATTTAATTTATCACCTACAACACTTGAAATAATTGTTAAACGATATTCAACACGAACTGATGAACATTCATCAGCTAAAGTTTCATTTGAACATTATATTCAAGCATGTGCTCGATTAACTTTACTCAATGGTATGTCTCTGCATAAATAATAAGGTGGAAAATTATGAATATTTTATTCTAGATTTAATGCATTCAAAATCAACAAATGGTTCACCGAGAAATATTTGTTCATTTTCTATCGATGAAGTTAGTTGAAAGAAATTCGTTTTTTTTCTCTCTTCACTAATAAAATTCTTTTCTATTCTAGTTTATGCAATTGGCACTTAGTCTATAAAACAAATGAAATGAATCTCGAGAAATAAAAGCAACTGTGATATGAATAATCTCATTTTTTTTGTATGTGTGCGATTTGTTTTTCTATATGAAAATATAGCCTTATTTTTTTCTCTCTTCAATATTCAGTAAGAAAAAGAAAAACAATTAATGAAACTTATTACTAAATGTAAAGGAGATCTTTTATCAAAGAAGTCATTATAGTTAAAATGTCTTAAATTGTTAAATTTATTGTTTCTCGTTTGATCTACCATTCACTGTTTTGTCAGTTTTACATTCATGTGACGCTTTGAAAAATTGAAATTGGAATAGAGTCTATCAAATCTAGCAAACTAGATAGAGTAAATTATTCGTCTTCGGTACTCTTGAAAACCAGTAGCGGATAAATCTTAGATTCGCCGCTATAGAAAACAATCTAATTTTGATTCAAATAGATTAATCAAAACATGTTGTTATTTATCTTAAGTTTTATTAATAACAAATATATATATATTATCTATCATAATTAATGCAAACATAGAATATGAACAATACTTAGGTTTAAATTATTAGTTATCATTTTTATTTATTGATGAAATAACAAGAGGTACTATAATAGCAGCAGATATAAGAATAAAACAGGTAATTCCTAAAAATATGTAGCATACTGTTAAGTGTGAACAAGGTTTACGGCTTGTATCTCTAAAATAATATATAGAAAATATATTATGTAATAATTGAAAAAAGAACTTACATTCCTACTGGTCTTACACCGTTTTGAAACCATTTATTAACATCATTCCCAATAGGTCTGCCCTATTGTATACAAAAAGCATTAAAAAATCTTCATAATAAAATCGAGTAACTTACATATGCATCAACATACCCTGAATAGCCCATATTTATTGAAGTAGCCATTATATATCCGACTACTTGTGAATTTTTACACTGCCTTCGTTTTCGCAATAATGTATATATTAATGTCAATTTTTTTTTCAAATATAATAATTCACTTTTTCCTCGTTTCTTTTTATTCTTTTGTACACCTTTTAATAATTTCATCTATGCTTTGTATTTTCGGAAGCCTAACGTATTCACACATTAGAATCATTTCAAGAATAATATATGAAATAGTCAATTATATCTATCTATCCTATGCACTGAAATATTTTATACATAAGAACGAAGATTTGATTGATATTATCTTTTTCGAATGTGCCTAAAAGATAATAGTAAAATCTTACCTTGAATAATATTACTTTTGCAAAAAAAATACATACGAATGAAAAAAGAAAATTTGTTCAAGATTCCTATATAACAGTATTAAAGTATCGTTGCCACTACGTTTGGACGCTAATTACGTATATCCAAAAATGAATATACGTTTCTATATTCTTATCTGGCATGCAAAGAATGGATTAATCTACAGAAGAACTTATTACTAGTGATTTCACATTTACTACTTTATAATATCGTGGAGTTTCAAGTCATTTGCTTGATTGAAATAATGGATTGTATAGAAAAAGTTACATTAGAGCATGATTATTTTATTCATATCCGATATTTTTATTGAACATTATCATTGCTTCTTCGTTGTTTTCAAAACGTGACTTTCTGTTGCAGCAATATGTCACCTGGAAACCAAATAATCAGTTATATTTACTTTGTACTGTCTCCAAATGAGAAAAGAATAAGCTAAATTATGCAATTACAACGTGAATCATGAGGTTGTAAAGATCTTTTTTTATACTAAAACAAGGTTTCAACAACGAAAACTTTCGTAATTTTTATTCAAAAGTATGTCAATTGTAATGTTGAAATTAAAATTCTTGCGAAATAGAACCATACTATTTAAGTCAAGCATGAAAATAGAAAAAAGAATACTAAAGTTTAATACTTTAAATCATTGTAAGTACTCTTCAACGTTTTCTGTTCATGAAATGATCAATTATAATAAAATTCTATATCATAGATTGTTTGAGATTAATGTCATCCGATTCAATCTCATTCAAAAAATATTCTAAATCTGCTGTTGGTACAGAAACCCGTGGTAAAACAGCATCAAATCGTCTTCGACGAGTTGATAATTTCGTTACAATGTATTGTTGTGATTTAATTATGAGTGATGAACATCTCTATGTTGATCTTGGTTATGGTCATCGACCAGTTACTACATTAGAAAGTGCAAAACGTTTTAGACGATATAATTCACAATTATCTATATTAGGTATTGAAATTGATAATAAACGTGTTCGAGAAGCTCAACAATATACTGATCATAGAACTTTTTTTCGACAAGGAGGATTTAATCTTCCATTACAAACGAATCTAACAACTGGTCATAGAGAAACTGTTAATCTTATACGAGCTTTTAATGTATTAAGACAATATGATTTAGAATCTGATTGTCGAGATGCTCATATATTAATGTGTAATTATTTAAATGTAAATGGTATTCTTATTGAAGGTACATCAGATCCATTCGGACGTATTTGGATAGCTAATATTATACGTAAACAAATAGATTGTTCATTATCAATTGAAGCCTTAGTATTTAGTACAAATTTTCGTGATGGATTTGATATAGGATCATTTCAACAAATTTTACCAAAGAATTTTATTCATCGTATGACTGGATCAAATGAAATGATATATAATTTTTTTGAAAATTGGAAAATAAGTTATGAACAAATAGGAAAATCAATGAAAGCTGTATATGGTATTGGAATACGACAACAATTTATAGTTACAGCAAAATATCTTGCAGAAGAATATGGGTATAATATAATTACGGATAAGAAATATTTAAAAAATGGATTTTTAATATGGTTATTAAAACCAGGAAGTAAAGGTGTTGATCTTGATCAAACCATCTATCGAACTGTAAACCATAGGAAATAACAAAATTTTATTTTTATTTAGTAAAATTCATTCAGATAAATTTTTGTGATATGAGTTATACGCATTTATATTTTTTATTTTAAGTAAAATTTTGTTCATCTTCAAATGTCATTAACTTGATTACATCTAGAAAAATTATTTTTATGAACAGACGCTAATGTTGTTGTAAGAGAAGAAGTCATTGACATGAAAAATCAGACAAAATGATAATAAACTTAAATATAGAATCGACTGATATTTTTTTTAATTAGATTTATATTTCATATAATTTTTAACAAATTTATTGTGTAAGAATATATTTTATTACAGATTAATGAAGTTCATTATAAATAAAATGTTCATTTTTTGGATGAGACGAACAATCTATATATATATATATACGTATAGATAAATCAGAATAAATATATATATTAATAACAAACCTGCTCGAACCAAATACTCTTGTAACTGTTGGAGTCGAAGATGTTCGAGTAACAGTATGGTTGATGCTTGAGGACGAACTACTTGGAGAATTCGATACTGTTCTGACTATAGGTTGATCAAGTGACATCTGCTTCTTGCTTGAGAATATTGTACGTAGTACTTGAGGATTACTCTTTGCTGATTTAACATTACGATCCAGTTCTTTTTGTTGTAGCTCTGGATTTGACGACATTTATGTTGTTGAGAATGTGTAAAAGAATAACAGAAAAATAAAAGAATATTAACAACTCCTCGCCTATTTAAATATTTAACCTCCCCGTTGAAATTTTTCTTTTTCTTTTTAAGTTAACAGCTGCATTTACATAACTTGTCGTCAAGGAATCTTGAAATAACAATAGAGAGAAACAAAAAATTTTAATTAATATTATTTCTTTTTTTTTCTACATCTATTTAATGATGCATACTGAACTGAAGCTTTTTCTTCTGATAACACAACAGAAGAAGAATGGCGTATTTTTTTCTTCTTAATTTACGATACAAAGCTCCTTGTAAAAGTTTAATACTTCTTTCACCTACCAGCAGTTGTAGTTCTAGACAAAAGGTTGATCTAACCTAGGTTTCTATCATTTATTCATAGACGAACTAAATGGTCAACATATGTCATAATATAATCAGTCTGCTATAAGTACTATTATCTCAAGCAAATATAATGAATTTATTAATAGAAAGAAACCATTATTTCTCATATTTATATTAATGAATTTTACATAATATTTTTTTTGTCTATCTGTTCATCATTAATTGTTTTTCAGCCATATGAGTACCGTCAATTCGAGCTTGAATTTTATCAAAAGCCATTTGTCTTGATGTTGATTCATCATCATCAAATGGAGAAAATCCACAATCATCAGTTGTTCCTAATTGTTCAATTGGAATGTATTTCACTGCTTCTAATATTTGATCACATACTTCTTTTGCACTTTCTACTCGTGGATCAATTGGATTAATAACACCAATAAATATTCGATGCCATGATTTCATATGTTCACGAATACATAAAAATATTCGTTCACGATTTGTTTCACTTGTTATTTGTAAATAGAAATTAGAAACATGAAGTTTAAATAATGATGGAAGAACTTCTAAATAATCAACTTCAAATGAATGATAACAGTCTTGATCACCACCTATATCATTAAAAAGAAAAAAATATGTCAGATAAATAGATTTTTATTTTGTTATTAACCTGGACAAACATGAACACCAAGTCGACGTTGTTCTTGAAATGTAAATCGATCTAAAACTTGATTATTCAGTTGAACAAAATCTTTTAATAATTGACCAGATGGATCAATTTTCAAAGAGAATCGTGCTTCAGTAAAATCGAGTTGAACACAATAAGCTCCACTTTCAAGACATAATCGAATATCTTTTTCACATTCATTTGTTAAATCATTAAGAAATTGTTCATGTGAATAACCTCTTATAGTTGCTTTTGGATAAACCATTGATAATGCTGATGGTGTAATTACTGCTTGTCTACAATTTCATATAAAATAATTAGTCATCTTTTTCTAATAGTATATTATAATTACTATTTACTTGATAGGTAATTGTGTCATTTGTTTTGCAATATCAATATAAGTATGAGCATAGAGTGCATATCGAAATGGTGCTTTGATTAATCTTGGTAATAATCGTTGATGACCATCTGCAAATTTAAGTGAAAAACAATCTGCTGAAAATGTATAATATTCATTAAATAATATAAAAATTGGATAAGTTAAAAATGATGGTTTTGTTTGTTCACCATCAGTGATAACAGATGAACCAGTTGTTTCAAATTGTTGAATTGTTGTTTGTATAGCTCTTGTATAATAATCACATAATCGATCGTAAGTCATTGTTCCATATCGATAATTTCGTTGAGCTATAATTAACTCTTTTGGTCGAGGAATTGATCCAATAGGTTCAGTTGGAATAGTAATCTAAGAAATAAAGAAAAAATAAGAACTGATATTTTATTATTAAACTTTTTTTTTTTGTAGCATACTTTTTCCATGTTAACTTTAAAGGAATGTATGAGAAATAGTAAGAAATGAGATGGTAAGTATTGTATTAGATATTGAAGAATATGGAAAACAGATCTATTCCACCTTCAAGCTCTTGAAAAAGTTATTAAATAGTTCTCTCGAGTAACTTTTAAAAGACTAATCTATTTTTGTAACTGAATACATTTCCTTTTTCATAATGTGTTTTTTAATGCCATACCTTTCGTATTAAGTAGACATGATAATGATATATTAATGAAAAGAAGAAAATATATTTTTCTTTTCTATCACAGCGGTGTTTTTAAACATATCGGTATGACAGGAAATATTGTTCCTAATGTAAAAAGACATTTCATGAAGAATGTAATACTATTCTTTCTTTAACATGTTAATTACAAGTTTTTTATTTTCTAACTTATAATTTTCCTGCTGTTTTCCATTATTAATTCCATAAAGTCTAACAAAATATAATTTTATACAAGAATTCTGTATGTTTTACATGAAAATTATCATATTAAAACCTTCACTCAACAATTCAGTAGAAATGTTAGTTTATAAATACATGAGGTGCGATGAAAGTTTTGTCGTTTGATTCTTTATTATAATGTTTAAACATATTTAAAAATATTTGCAAAATTTTAGACTTAAGTCTTGTGATCTATTATTTCATTTATATCATAGCAAAATATTAAATAGCGGCATTTTATGTTTGAGTTTTCAATTCCTTAATATGTTGGGTGTGAGTTTGGATTGCTTGAGAACTCGTCGCTGTTGGATTCTAAAGTATATTAGATCATTGATTTGCATTTTGCAACTATGATTATGTTTCAATAGAACTATTGCTACTAATTGATAAAATGCGTCCATTGGCATAACATTGCCTTTGCAAATATTGAATTTGGAATTGAATTCATGTATCTTTATACTGTCTTTCAAAAACAATCCACCGCATTCCGATGAACATTTCTACTTTTTATATGTTTGATGAGTTTTTATTCAAAAACAGATCGAAATACTCAATGAAGAAAACTTTTCTCAAAGATACTTGTAACAGATGAGAATGTTGGTATTGGATAAGTACAGATCGTCAACAAAGATAGCAGTATAAGTGACTATACAGTATTACGTTGTTGATTTTAAGAGCCTTGTATTTCATCCTGTGTGTAATAGAAAATGTTGTATAGATAGAAACCTGCGACGATAAATTCATCAACAATTAATGTTTCTTCATTATTTCAGAATTTTTTTAATTTATTGAATTAGTATTCCCTTGGATTTGACAATTAATCGATATATGTTAACCAAACAGAACATACTTCATCTTTTACATAGATTATCTGATAATGAAAGACAAACTTGAGATGTAGGCGAGGATTTATTCTTCACACTCACCCACGTTCATATCCACATGTCTTCATTTTCAGCTTTGGTTTTGAACTATCGATAAAGATATTAAGACAAAATCACACAAGTTTTGAATGTATCGTTTCTGAAAAAAAGTTCTCATATCAATTTTCAGCCTCTGCCTAAGTAAAACTTTTTGTCAGCGAAGTTTTCATCTCGGAAACTATTATTTATAAACCGGATGAGTGTTAGATCTATTCTTCTTTAATTAAAATAGTTTATTTTGGAAGTAATAAATCTAACCAATAACTAATTACAAACACACACATAGCGTAAAATATGGTCTTTATATATATATATATAGACTATTTGGATATTTCCATATATTTTATTATACGAAAATACCTGAGTTATATATAAGTCATCTTATACTGGGAAAAGACCAAAAGAATACATCGAGGACACACGACAGGAAGAGCACATACATGCACATATATAGAAAAGAAAAGAAAATATATGGGATAGTTCCTTATGGAATGTTATAAGGAATATTCCATAACATTGTGGATATTCTATTTCACTTGAACTGTCATCCATATCCACACCCGAATCAACAAAATATTAATTATTAAAAATTGATTGTGTAGAAAATAAAGTAGTTTTCATAGAATTCGATTGAAAATGTAGGATATATTAGATCCGACAATTTAATGACAAATCTCAACCACTGAAAACTGATTCGTTTAACCTATTACTAATTGAGATTTCAAATATAGCTGTGATATAACATATATGTTCAATAATAATCATTTATTCACATTTTCAAAAGCAAAAAAACACAATTAAATATTTTTTATGTTCATGTAAATCATTTCAGAAAGCGTAACATTATAAAAAAAAAGTGGGACCATAAGAAAAATAAATAAATTACAATATGTATTTTTCCCAAATATTCAATTATTAAGGAAAGAAATATCCGTACCTTCAAGATGAAGGAGGAGTGATACTTTGTGCTAGTTTATCTAATGTCATAAATGAATTATCTTCCATTGACATCGAGCCAATAAATATATGATTTGCAAAAGTTGTTGTACTATGTCCACCAAGTATAGCATCGATTTTTTCTAATCGTTCTTTTGTTTGTTGTAATTGTTTTCGTTTTGTTTTTGTAAAAACATCTTCAGCAAGATGTGAATCAACAAAATCGCATTGTTCGATAGGAAGATGTCTTAAACGTTCTTGTACACCAGCACACACATCAAAATCACATGCTGCACGTAATGTTAATGCTGTATAATCCATAAAACGTTTTGTTAATAATCTCCAATATGAATATACACTATATATCATTTCTTGTACAGCTTGATCAACATTCAAAATTGATTTAAACATTAATTCATCATCATCATCGCCATATTCCTTTTCTAAAAGCAATGATTTTTTTTGTTCAACATTATTTTTTGAATTTAATTTTGTCAAATAATTTCGAAATCTTGCTATCTTATTGTTATAGAAAGAATCAATTGTATAAGGATCCTGTTTTTCTAATCGAATCATTTCATGTAATTGATTATGTATGATTTGATTTTTTTCATTAAGATATAAATCAACAATATCACGAAAAGCTGGTATTAGTTTCATTAATAAAATATCATCTTTATATTGATTATTATTATTATTATCCATTAATAATTTTAACACAATACGAAAACATTCATTAATAAGAATATCTGTTGCTGTCCAAAGTTGATCCAATTTTTCACTTATTAAACGTTTTAATACAGGATGTGGAAGAAAATTTGGTAATTGTTCACCAATACATGCTGAAATAGCAGTACTAACTTTTGTACGATACTTATCGGTAGATAATTCTCCAGTATATTGACTTATTATATCAGTATATTTTTCAAATTTTATATGTAAAGTATTACTCATACTGGTAGTTTGACCATCAGATGAAGGTGAAAAACATACTTTTAAAACATTTTCAACATAAAATTCCATTAATTCATGATATTTTGCTAAACGTGCTGAAGGTGTATCTAAATCAGGTGGAAATTTTGATAATTGTTCACGAATATCTTTTAATTTCATGCGTATTTCATTTCGCATTTTTGGAAATATTTCTTTAACACGATCAGAATATAAATCAGCTAAACGATTAATTAATGCATTAATACCAAGACAATGCCATCCAATAATTGATGAAACTGGATGATTAGAAAAAAATTCTTTTTCACGTTTATGTGCATCTTTTAAACTTATTTTTTCATCACTAGTACGATTACGAACAGCAATAAAACCTAATGTTAATTGAAATACATCAGGTTTATTCATGAGTAGTTGTTGTGCAAATGCATCTTGATTAGGAGCTAAATCAGATTTTGTTATAACACCTATTGTACGAATACCATCTGGATCATATTCACGTGCTAATGTAAATGATTCAACTGTTGCAATATCGACATTAGCAGGAAAAACACATAAAATAACACTGCCTTCTTGAGAAATAAATTTACGGATTAAATTTGTTGTTTGTTCATGAATATTTTTAGGTTGATCGCCTATTGGATTTCGTGCTATACCAGGTAAATCAACTACAGTTAAATCTCGTAAATCTGGATCTTCAACAAGTAATTCAATTAAAGTTTCCACAACATTTTTATTATTTCCCGCTAATTCTTTTGTTTCTTCTTCAATATATTTCAATATATTTAATTCATTTTCATCCAAAAGTTCTTTTTTATCATCATTATGTAAACGATAAACTTTTCTTTGAATTGATTTACGTAATCTTAAAACTAATGGACATCGTGTAACAATACCTGAACCTTTTGGAAGTTCAACCAATGATAAAGATTCTAATAATGTTGATTTTCCACTTGATTGATCTCCAACGACAACAACATTCGGAAAATTAACACCATCATTATTTGATGATAATAATGTTCGAATTTGATCAATTCTGTCCATAAGAGGCCGAACTTTTTCATCATATGCATCGACGAATGAATCCATCAGTATTTCCTATATCAAACAAGAAAATATAAAAACAAAAATAGTTTGTTAAACTTACAAATTAAAGTTAACAATAACAGCTTTAACGAATATTTCTTCTATATTGTAAAGATGGAGATACTATACTTCTGTTTATTCGAAGAAAACGCACACTATTTATAGGATGGTGGATCATCCTATTAGGGATATATCCCGCAGGAGATCAAAAAAACAAAACGAGGTTAAATCCCATAATATATAGCAACACACATGTGAACAACAGAAAAGGAAAAATTCATATAGTGGAACGAAAGGAAAAATCCATGAACAGCATGGAAGAGAACGAAAACACATGTACACGATGATGATATTTCATACTATATGTGATATATGTATATGTGACAATAGAACGCAAGAAGATATACATATATGACGTAAGAAAAAATCAAGATAGATGATGATATCATCTAACAATATTCTCGATTTATCCAGTCAGAAACTATACCGATAGTCATGTTGTCGAAATATGTAGGTCATTATGAAACACTTCAAATATCTAACATCTTCTATAAATATATTTCAATAGTTTGTTGAAATCGTCTTGCAGAAAATGAACGTCCTAATAAAAAAAGATCGACTAAGTAAGAACTAAGAGATTATTTACTTCAGATGTATTTTTTTTTGTTTTGTTTAAGCAAATGCGAAACAACAGAACACATACCCAGACAGTCAAAATCGTCAGAAAAACACATTGCTGCAGTAGAAACTCGTTATAACACATTAGGATTGGTGTGGGTGCGGATTCGTGTCAACTCCAACTGACACCCATACTCTCAAATAATTTAAAGATAAGGAATTAATATATTTTCATACTGATTATTTAATAATAATCGTATTAATATAAGAAATTTAGTCATAGATAATGAAAAAATAAAAGTTGAAATTGAAATTTAATATATATTTATATATAGATATTCTTTTTTAGTTGTCATCTAACGAATATGAATTGGAATTACTTAAAAATAAATTAATTCAAGAATTGATTTAATACCGAACATTTTACAATTGATCCGAATTATTTAATTATATAAAATTTTATGTTGTACTAGTTGAATCATCAATAAAATTAGTTGTTTATAAATAAAATAATTCTTTAGGAAGTTGATATTCTTAATTAACATCATTTGTGGTGATATGCTTAGACTGACATAGACATCGAATCATATTAATGAAATTTTTAATCGATAGAACTCTTTTCATTTCAAATAGAAAATACTTTTACTATTGAACTAACTAGGAATAACTTTTCTTTTGTCTCCAGTAATCTATGAATAACATAGAATTGTATTGACCATAAAGCAACTAGTCATAGAGAGAATTCGTTAAATATTCTCTATGTTTGA